GACTTGGCCGTCACCCGAGGCTGAGCCCCCCACCACCCCTGGGGGACTGCCAGCGGCCCCTCCTCCAACGCCCTTCTGGCTTGGAGAAACCTCGGGCAGTCCGCCCAGAAATGGCGAGCAGAAGCCCCGTCAAACCCACACCAAGGACACGCCGTTAATCGACCCTGCCCAGACCAACGGCGGGTCGGCGCCCACGCGGCCCCAGCCCGCCACACGGTAAGGCAGAAGCGCTTCCGCGGAGGAAGCCGGCGACGCCAGCTAGACCAGTCCGGGTGGCTCGAAGTTTCGATGCCCACCGCGCCCAGCATTTCCTCGTCGCGCCGCGCCCCAGCCCTGCGCTCCAGCAGCAGGGAGGCCCGCGCGCAGACGCGAAGGACATGCTGGCCCCGGGGGCTCGACGCGTCGAACGCACCTCCAAGATGGCGCACCCCCGCCCCTTCCGCCGCCACCAGGGCACGGCGGCCCAGGCCAACCCCTGGAACCACCCAGATGCCCTCCGGGAGGGGGCCGGGCAAGTCCGCCATGCGCAGCCCGAGCTTGCTACAATGGGTGTCCAGAGCCACCTCGAGCATGCTCGACCACGGGAGGCCGCGCGCCGCCTGCAACGCCCGGCACGACAACGCCAGGCTGGGGCGGGTCATGATCCTGTCCGCCCAGAAGCAGCGGGCGCACCACCATGTCGATTTCTGCGCCGATATGGCTTTCATGCACTCCCTCGCCAGGGCCGCTGGCGGATGCTCCACGAAGGGGGCCGCCCACATGTACTTATTCAGTGCCCACTTCACGACCTGCCCCCGCAACTCGGCTCCGCCTGGGACGCACCGAGCGCGCCGGGCCGCGTCCACCACGGGATCCCAACCGTCCCTCGGCGGGGGCAAATGCGGTCGGAGGCCGGCCGCTGGCTGAGCTATTATGCCCAGGTGCTCGGCGGCGCCAGACCCCGCCCACATTTGCCGCTTGCCGTCGTTCTCCGTCAAGCCGACCGCGGCGTCGAACTCCTGGGTGACCTGCAGCTGGGACTGGAGGTCCCCCAACGTGCTCGTCTTCAGTGACCGGTCGTCTACGTAGCTCCAGTGTCCAGCCCCGCAGGAGCCCACCAGCCCGTGCAAAGAGAGCACACAGCAGCAAACCGGGTCACCCGCGGGCATCCCCCTCGCGGGGAAGAGGGGGTCGGCCATCTCCCCTGCCACGGCGCAAAAACGAGGCGCAGTCCAGCCGGCGACGAGAGAACACACGACGGGAGGGGGCACCCCCGCGCGCTCCAAGGCTTTTCTGGCAACCTCGTGGGGGACCCTATCGAAGGCTTTCATCAAATCAACTTCCGCCCCATGTTGCCCCTCCGCCGACAACCAGGAGGCCACCGACGCGACCACGCCCGCCTCGCCGTAGGCTTCGGCCGGCTCAGGCGGGAGACACCGCAACAGCGTGGCGTGCCAAGCTCTGTGCCAGACGCTGGCCACGCAAACCGGGCGGCTGTCCGAGGACCCCCGTTTGGGGATACCCGCCACCCGGAAGGCGAACACACTTTCAGGGAAAACGCGCCCGCTCTCCGGGCGGCGCGCGCCCCCAGGCGGATCGCCCCGAGCAGAACCCACGTTGCCGCGCCGAGGCGGGGCATCCCTCCCAGGCTGGACGCCGCCAGCGCCGAAGGCCGCGCAGTCGGCCAGCTCTCCTGGCTGTTCGCCAGACTGGTCTGCCTGGGCACGCCCAGGACGCGCCTCGACGCTAGCCTCGGCGGCCGCGACGAGCAGGTCGTGCAACTCGCCCACCAACCACGGGGCGTGCTCTACGAGCGCCCTCGCCTCGCTGACCTCCCAGCCGCCCAGGCCAGCCGAGCCCGCGAGGTTCGCCACCTGCTGCCGGAACGCCGCCCGGGACGGCGGTACCCACCTGCGGGGGGGAGGCGCCGCGGGCACGCCGGCGGCGTCCGCCAGCTCGGTCCACGCCTGCGCAAAGACGAGGGGGTCGCCCGTTTCCGCCACCTCCCTCCCCAGCCCGGGACCCGGGCACCTCGGAGTGGCAGGGGCGACGCCTGGGCACCAGTGCCGCGCCCATTCCGTGCGCACGTCCGTCGCCGAAAAAGTCACGGGGGCAGGAGGTGGCTGAACCCGCTGGGCAGCCGCCTGGGCAGCGTCGGGACCCCACCGTTTAAAACGGCCCTTCCAAGCTTGAACAGCAGCCTTTTTCATTATCCCCTCCTCAACCGTGATAGCGGCGCGGAGAATGTCCGCGGCGCCCCCGAGGCACGAGGGGATCGCAGGGAGGAGGCCGCTTCGGAACGCAGGCACCCATCTCTTGAGAAGGGCCCCTGGGGTTGGGGCTTGGCCGGGGGGCACCCCCTCGCCGTTAGCTTCCGCCGACTTCCACGACTCCTCCAAGACCCGCTGCAAGCGGCATAACCTGCGGTATCGCATCGTTTCTGGCCCCCTCCTCGACGCCGTCGGCGCGACGGGCCGCTGCTCCGGCAACGAGCCCTTGTCGCGCTCCCGACCGCGAACAATTTCCGCGAGCCCCAGGCGACACGCTTCCCGCATCAAAGCCTAGCCTCGGCACGCACATGCCATCGTTCAATCGCCTCCCTGGGTGGGAGGAGCCGGTCGTCCTGCGCAGCTTCCGCCACAAGCCGTAACTGCCGAGCCTGGCCCGTCGCAGGGGGGGGGGCCCAACCGTAGAGAGCGGTTCGGGCAGGGCGCGTCTGAGGTGACAGGGGGCCGGCTCTTCCTGCAATGCGCACATCATAAGCCACGGCAACATGGTGGGGCACCCCTCTCACAGGGACGGTGAAGGCCGGTTCGACCGACGCCCCCCTGGCCAGGCACCTCGTCGGGGCAGTTTTCCCCTCAATGGTGGTGGGGATGACCCGCGCCGCCGCCCAGTCCAGAGGCATCGCGCTATCGTAGACGGGGCGCCAATTCAAGTCCCCCACAATCACCGCAGGAATTCCCGAGACACGTCCAGCCGCGGCGACGAGAGACGCCAACCAATCGTCATCCGCAGGGTGGGGCCCCCAGGCAACCGAAACCCGCATCACGTCAAAATTCCTCCCCACCGAACGCCAGGACAGCGAATCGCAATTCTTGTCGCCAAGGGTCCCCTTGCCAAGCCCGGGGCGCCAGAGCAGAAAACAACCCCCTTCCCTCATTCCATTCGCCGGCATCGGGGGAGCAGCAGACCACTGGCCACGCAAACCCGCCCGCTCAGGAGGCGCCGTGGCCCACCGAAAGCCACCTGGGGGGTGCCGGGTCTCTTGTGGGCACAAAAGATGCGCCTCCGATTCCCTGGCCGCGGCCAAGACCGCCTCGAGCCGGTCTCGCGTGAGCAGCGTGACGTTCAGGGTAAGGATCCGCACCTGCGAGGGGGGGTCAGCCCCCCTCGGGCCAAAAGCACGTCGTTTGTGGGACGTTCCGCTGCCTACCGCGCCCCCCGCCAAAGGGCGCGCCCGGGCCCCGCCTCCCAGGGGGAAGGAGGGGGGGCCCGGGCACGCCCCCCCAGCGAGGGAGGGGTTGGACGCGCAACGGCCCACGGCCGTTTGTCAAGAGGCCGCTGGCGCAGCTGCCGCTCTCGGCCCCTTGCGCCGGGCTTCACGGGACTTCTGGTGCTCAACCTCCAGGGGGGCTTCAGCATGTGCGGCCTGTCGCCACGCTTCGATCGTGACGGCCTCGCGCCGGGACCTGCAAGGGTATTTTCGGAAGGCGGCCAACGGCGCGCTCCTATCACATGTCTGGCATTTATAACAATTTGCTCCGTTCGCCACCCTGTGAATGACCCCCGTGTCCGGGTTGCAAGCTGAGCTGGCCAGTTCCTCCGAAAGCTGGCCCCTCCACTCCCAAAAGAAATCGACATGGGTGCCGCGCCTCCGTTCCCCCGTTTGCAGGTGGACGTGCGCTTGGTGCCGAGATCTTTCTTCAGGCGTCCAAGGTCTGCCCAGAGTGGGAGCTGGCATGCCTTGGCACTCTTTCCAGTGGCGGTCCGCCGCTTGCCGTTGACGGTGCGCGAGGCCCCGCCCGACCCCTTTAGGCGGTCGCCATCCGCACGCCGGACACCAATATTGGGCTCCCAAATCAGTCGGGTCGAAAGTCGGCCGGGGAAGGGGCGGCGCAGGCGGAGGAGGAGGGTCCGCCGGATCTTCGAAATTCCCCAGAGAGCGGCACGGCCCCCCCTCGAGACTTGGCGCTCTGACACAAAACGTGGAATCAGGCCAACCCCGCCCGCCGAGCAAAGCCACCAAGGATGGGCTGAACTCAACCCGTCTCGTCGGGGTGGCCTGCCCCCCTTGCGACCCCTCCAGCGCTGGTTCACTCGGGCCCGCACCGCTTCGGGCGCAGCTCTGCGATTGGGCCGGGGTAGCCAAAACCCCGCTCCCCGCCGACGCACCTTGGCTCAAGCCTGGGGCCGTGACCGTGTTGGGCAAATCGTAACGACCCCCGCGTCTCGCCGAGGCACTGTCCGAGCTTGCCCCTGGAGTGCCCCCCAAGAGTTCCCGCACCGAGGCCGAGACGCGGATAGGAGTGGAAGGGCCCGCCGCCGAACGCCGCCCGCCTCCGTCCAGGCTGCCGCGGCCGTCCGTGGCACCCGTCCTGCCTTCAAAGACGCCGCCAAGGAGCCCCAAGAGACTCCCAAGAGGTCCCCAAGAGGCCCTAAAGAGGGCTCCAGGGCCGGCGGAATGAGCGAAGCGATTAAATAAAGGAAAACAAATCCTCATGGAAGAGAAAGATGAGGAGGAGGATAAGGGGGAGCAGAAGAAAGAAATGAGGAGGACGACAACGACGACGGCGACGAGGACGAGGGAGACGAGGAGGGAACGATGAGGAGGGGGAGGACGACAACAGGGACGAGGACGAGGAGGAGGGGGACGAGGAGGGGGGGGAGGAGGAGGACGGCAGGGAAGAAGGCAGAAAGGAGTCCAGGCGAGGAGGAGGAGGACGACGACGAGGGGGACGAGGTGCCCCCGTCCATCAGCCCGCGCTCCTGTGAGATGGGGGGGGGAGGCGAGTCGGCTCCTGGAGCTCGGCGATCTCCGCGGCGGCCCTTTGCGCACCTGGTTCGGGCGTTCGACACCCGCCGCCGTCGACACCCCGTCGCCGTTGGCCTCATGTTCCTCCTCCTCCTCCTCCTCCTCCGTTCCCGTTTCCCCATCCTCTGCCGCATGATCACCACGATCACCACAACCATCGCCATCATCGCCCATCTTCGCCCGTCATCAGCATCATCAGCATCGTCATCAGCAGCATCGTCAGAATCATCACAATCATCATCCTCATCATCGCCATCATGGTGACCAACATCATCAACCCCTTCATCAGCATCAGCTGCGTCATCATCACCAGCAGCACCATCATCATAAACACAATCATCAACAGCAGCAGCATCAACAACATCGCCATCATCAACATCATCATTACCAACACCAGCATCCGGGCCAACATCGTCATCGTCAGCAGCATCAGCACCAGCAGAATCAGCATCAGTATCGCCATCAGCATCATCAGCACCATGATAATCCGCATCAGCATCAGCATCACCGTCATCATCCTCCTCCTCCTCCTCCTCCTCCTCCTCCGCCTCCTCCTCCTCCTCCTCCTCCACCCCCTCCTCTTCCTCCTCCTCCTCCTCCTCCTCCTCCTCCTCCTCCTCATCATCATCATCATCATCATCATCAGCAGCATCAGCATCATCACCATATAGGGGTCCACTCGGCCGTGCCTTCGCCGAACACGCGCGCGCTGCCGACGCGACGCCGCCGTCGGCCTCCGCTGGTGGGATCCGAGTAGGGAAGGACAAAAGTCTGCTGGGATCCGAGTAGCGCAGGCTGGACCTCGAACTGGATCCTATTAAGGATGGATGGAGTTCGAAGGGCATCCGATCGAGGAGAAATGGAGATCTAACTCGGTCCCATTGGGGATGGGTAGCGGCCTCATCGAATACTACCCAGGATGGATGGAGCTCTAACTAGATCCTACTATAAATCGGTAGATAACTTTTGAATGTTCGTTCGTTTAAGGATGAATGCAGCTCGAATTGGATCCTTGTAGATACGGATGCAGGGCAAATCGGGTTCAACGAAAGATTTATGGAGGTCCAATCGGGTTCTGCAAGGGATGAATGGATGTCCATTAAGAATCCGCGAAGGATGGATGGAGGTCGTATTGGATCCTAGTGGGGGTGGGTAGGGGCCGCATCAAACTCTACTAAGGGTGTATCGAGGAAGAATAAAAATCGGCGAGGGATGGGATGGAGCTCTAATCGGACCCTTGTAGAGATGGATAAAAGTCTGAGAGGGCTCTAAGAGGGATGGATTACGTTTGAATGGGGCTCGATGAAAAATGTGGGAAACTCTAACAGGATCCTAGTGGTGATTGGTAGAAGGTCTAATAGGATGCACTCAGGGATGATCGGAGCTCCAATAGGATCAGAGTAGAGATGGGTAGAGGCATGATGGGATTCTATCAAGGATGAACGGCGGATCTCTGTTAAGATCCGAGCGGGAATGAGCTAGTGGTACCCAAGGATCCTACTAGAGATGGATGGAGCTCTCTTATGAGAATCCCAACGGAGATGCAAGGAGCTTTCATGTGATCCAACGAGATCCGATGGTAGCCCCATTGGATCCTTATGCAATCCAGTCGAATCCCTGCTGAATCCTATAGGGAGTCTTCTTGGACCTCTGCGAATCCCATAGGTGTCCTATGGGACTTCCGCGGAATCCTATGGCTCCGTTGGCGTCGGCGTGGGCGTGGGCGTGGGCTTGGGTTTGGGCGTGGGCGTGGATGTGGGTGCGGGCGCGGGCGTGGGCGTGGGCGTGGGCGTGGGCGTGGGCGTGGGCGTGAGCGTGGGCGTGGGCGCGGGCGTGGGCGTGGGCGTGGGCGTGGGCGTGGGCGTGGGCGTGGGTGCGAGCGCGGGCGTGGATGCTGGTCTGCTGCTCCCTTTTACCACCACCAGGGGCCGGGGCACTGGGATGCGTTGTCGGCAACAACAACAAAAGCAATCTGTTTAAGACTGTTCGCTCTGATCTGCTCGCGTGCCACTCAACTTGGATATCCCGAACCCTCGATACCCGCCCTCTTCATCCTTGACCAAACTCCCTTGGGGGTAGATCCTTCTTACCTGCAACGTATATTCCGCGCAGCCCCTGAGGCAGGGGAGGAGAGGACGGATGGAAGGAAGGGACACTGGGGGAGGGAGGAGGATGGAAAACGAGCTAGGAGCAGAAAATACGTGGCAGAACCAGACGAGCAGACCCTACCAGGCGGGCCGGGAAGGCGGGCTCAGGCGGCCAGGTCGATCACGCGGGGTGCTGAAACGTGCGTCCTGCATGAATCGCGAGGAAATATCGAGCGACAGCGCGACTCCCAAATCAATCGTGACGCAATCCACAACGAGAGCGTGACTCCTGAATGTCGAGGGCACTGCGTCTGAATACATTGCAAGGAAATCCTGCGCGAGAGCGCGATTCCTGAATCAATTCTGAAGACGTCCCGCGCGAAAACGCGATTTGGGAACACGTTGTGAGGATGCATCAGGCGGGAACCGCTGTTGTTGTAATTCGGGTGCCAACAACACAGTTTGACCCGAGCGACTTCCCTTTTATTCTTGACACTAAAAGTGCGAGCCCTGGAGAAGCACTTCACTTGAACAAATCCAGGGGGGCCAGCAATAACTATCTAGTAATAATATTTCAACAACACCAGCACCAGCAGCAGCAACAACAATCAGCTTAAGACTGTTCGCTCTTGTCTGTTCGCGGGCCATTTCAACACGTATACGCCAAACCCTCGATACACGCCGTCATGTTCTTCGATCGTACCCCCTTCGGGGCCGGGCAAGAGAGGACGGACGGAAGGAAGGGACAATGGGGGGAGGAAAAAGAGAAGAGCACGAACAGGAGTAGCGGGAGGGGGGCTACACGGTTCCGGCTTGAATAGGAAACACTTACTTTTCAAAAAGGGCTCGGTCGTTCTTTTGGTCTGCATGCGTTCCGCTACCTTTGGCGGCGAGCCCCCCTGGTTTTCCTTCGGACTTCCTAGACTCACTTGGACAAAAAGGGTTTCGTTCCTTATGTATCGTTCCTCAGGTCAGACCGAGCACTACAGAAGCAGAACACACGTGGCAAAACCAGACAAGCTGATCGGGCGGGTAGACCCTACCAGACGGGTTGGGACGGCGGGCCCAGGCGACCAGGTCGATCACGCGGGGTGCTGAAGCGTACGTCCTGCATGAATCGCGAGGAAAGCTCGAGCGACAGCGCGACTCCCAAATAAATCGTGGGGAAATCCACAGCGAGAGCGCGGTTCCTAAATGTCGAGGGCGTGGCGTCTGCATAAGTTGCAAGGAAGTCCCGCGCGAGAACACATATTTCTGCATACAATGTGAGGACGTACCGCGCAAGAGCGCGATTTGGGAATACATTGTAGGGAAGCATCAGGCAAGAGCCGCTGTTGTTGCAAACCAGGGGTTAACAACCCAGTTTGGTGGCACCTCGGTGCCCCTTGTAGTAAAAAGCTGGGTGCGAACCCCTGGGGAAGCACCTGCTTTCCAAAATAGAAAAGCTTCCCAGGAGGGGAAATCAACAACAATTATCCTTTAGAAAGGAAAACTCAACAACAACAACAACAACAACAACAGCAGAAACAGCAGCACTAACAACAGCAAGAACAACAGCAACAGCAACAACACCAGCAACAACACCAGCAGCAACAACAACGGGAACAACACCTGCTGCTGCCAATACTGCTAATGCTACTCCCACTACTACTACTACTACTACTACTACTACTACTACTACTACGACTACTACTACTACTACTACTACTACTACTACTACTACTACTACTACTACTACTACTACTACTACTACTACTACTACTACTACTACTTCTACCACTACTAATACTACTACTACTACTACTACTACTACTACTACTACCACTACTACTACTACTACTACTACTACTACTACTACTACTACTAACCCTACTACTGCTACTAACCCTACTACTACTACTACTACTACTACTACTACTAGTACGACTACTACTACTACTACTACTACTACTACGACTACTGCTACTACTGCTACTACTACTACGACTACTACTACTACCACTACTAATATACTGGGACTACAACTACCACTACTACTACTACTACTACTACTACTACTACTACTACTACTCCTACTACTACTACTACTACTACTGCAATTACTGCGACGAATACTACGACTACTACTTCCACTACCACGAACTACTACAACTACTGCTACCACGACTACTACTACTACTACTACTACTACTACTACTACTACTACTACTACTACTACTACTACTACTACTACTATGACTCCTACGACGACGACGACGACGACTACGACGACGACTACTACTACTGCTACGACTTCTACTAGTACTACAGCTACTACTACTACTACTACTACTACTACCACTACTACTACTACTACTACTACTACTACTACTACAACAACTACTACAACAACTACTACTACAAATACTACGACTACTACTACGACTACTACTACTACTACTACTACTACTACTACTACCTACTACTACTGCGACCACTACTACTACGACGACGACGACGACGACTACTACTACTACTACTACGACTACGACTACTACGACGACGACTACGACTACGACTACTACTACTATTACTACTACTACTACTACTACTACTACTACTACTACTACTGCTGCTGCTGCTGCTGCTACTACTACTACTACTACTACTACTACTACTACTACTAGCTACTACGACTACGGCTACTACTGCGCCTCCGACTACTCCGACTACGACTACGACTACTACCACTACTACGACGACGACTACGACTATCACGACTACTTCTACTACTACTACTACTACTACTACTACTACTACTACTACCACTCCTACCACTCCTACCACACCTACTACTTCAACTGAAAATACTGCTGCAACGACTACTAGTACTACTACTACTACTACTACTACTACTACTACTACGACTACTACAACTGCGGCAACCACTACTACTAC